TAAAAAAAAAAACCTGAAGATTGAATAAAAAACTTCCCACACTGATTTTTGCACTTGTATTTTAAATAACCTGGTTTTATATAATTTTCACTTTTTGTTTTTAGTTTTTTTTAACCATAAAAAGGTCCAAAGTTACAGACTTCTACTCTACTCAATTTGGACGAAAATTGAAGATGAAATTTTGGAAAAAAGTTTCAAATGAGCAGTCTTGTATACATAATAATAAGGAAACGTCATTTGTACACTCCAAAATGTACATTATACTTATATTGAACTCGTGTTAAAAAAATTGTTTGAGGAATTTTTTTTTTATTATATTGTCAAATGATTGTCAAGCTTTGGTGCATAATAATAAACATTCCAAATCTCGAATCATTCAAAATGCAACACCTCTGATTGTAAAAGAAAGAAACATATCAAACATTAATAAGCCTCTATTTGATGGATTTTTCAAATTTTTTTTTTAAGCTCATTTTAAAATACATATTCTCTCAATAAAATAACTTCACATATTAACCCACAAATTTTCTTTAATTTTTAACCATTGTTATCTTAAAAATGATCATTTTCTCAAAAGGTTTTGTGCCTTCTTGATGGATTATTAAAAAGAAGGTGACGTCACCTTACCTTCATAGAATAAGATTACAACATAAATTCAAACGTTTGATACACAAAACTAACAAAAGAAATAACTATAAGCATTTACATTCCACTATTGTGCCTTATAGTATGCCACAGCCACACTCATCTAACTTTCAAATTCCACAATTTCCTTAGAAGGTAGAACCCTAGTGTTCTTTCCTTTATTCCCTCCACGTTCGTGAATATGTGACTTCATGACTCATTTTCCCACTAGTAATTCTTTAAAATAATCGGAAAAATGAATAAATACAAAATTACTGGAATAACGATAAGAATACTTCACAGTCCAAGAACACGTGAATTATATAATGATTGAAGGAAAGTGTTGTTCAATAGTAAAATATGGGTCTACTGCATTTTTACTCGAACGAATAATACATTGGTACAGGTTTTATTTCACAATGAAAATGTGGAATTACATAGAAAATGCAAAACTAAGATATCATTTTATGGTAGGAAATGATCCCAAGTTTCGGAAAAGTTGTATAACAAATGCAGATGAATAGTTAAGGATGCTAAGACTGTAGAGTATATTAACTGCAACATGTGAATGATTCAAATTGCTCTGCTGCAGAACTTGTGGGGATTCACTCCACCTTAAGAACAATCTTCATAAACTCGTAAACAAAGTAGCTTATTGACGCTGAAGGTAACACCTGAAGAACAATGAATAAAGAATAAGATGAAGTGCACCATATAAGAAACCGTAATGCCAAATATACACGATGATGGCTAAATGATCTTCAGATGCCTGAGGACAGATGAAAATGTAATGAAACCGTCATATGTGATACTGAGATAATGGGGACACATAAATAATTGATTGCATATTAATCAATATATTAAGTATATCCCCAATGGAATAGTCACAAGTGAGATAGTGGGGGTAATAGTAGAGAATTTCTTATCAGTATCAGGTTTGCATCAAGGTTCTGCCTTAAGTCCTAATATTTTCGCTTTAATAACAAATGAGCTAACAGGCCATATCCAAGATAAGGCTCCTCGATGCATGTTATTCGTTGATGATATGGTTCTAGCCCATGAGAGTAGGAAGGAAATAAATCGTAAAATTGTATGTTAGGTACAACTATGACAGAACATGGAATGTCCTTTTAGCCATAGTAGGAATACGGATAGCAGATGAGTCTCTATAGAGAATCATGTCGTCACAAAGAGGAAGTGTTTTGTGCATTTTTAAATAAGAATATAGACCAAGTAGAGATGATGTGGATTTGAGAGAAATTAAATGAAGGACAACTCGGTTGGTTGGTGTATATCTTGTATAGATCAAAAGAAGATTCTATTCACATTAGCGATGCTACTCCAACGTGTTAGAGGCGTGCAAAGGAATCTAGCGATATAGAAATGTACATGCTTGAAACTGGCCATATAGGAGATATTAAATAGATGCAAGTTTAATTATTCCCGTCTTTAAGTTTCGAAAAGGGCGAATGCCCTTGCAAAAATAATAATCAGAAGCCAGAGGAAGACTTTATATAGTGCATGTTTGGCACACAGGAATTTGATAGTGTAATGAACGAGATTTTAGCTTATTTTCATTCCTAATACTCTCTCCTCACCAAACATGCACATAATATAAACCATACCTGTAGTAAACTGGGAATAAGACCTGCATAAAGAGCAGGGAAACCTCCTCGTTCAACAATCTTGACAGCTGTTGCCAATGCACTCATTTTAGTAGCTCGGCCTTGCAGTTGGAGCTGCCTCCTCACAACCTCAAATGGATAGGTAGCAGCTTCAGCACAAGCACCGGAAATAGCTCCATACAAGAAAGTCCTCATTGGTCCCAACTCGAGCTGTTCTAAAGCATTCAATTCTTGATCCTGCTGTCTCATGTTCTGAATTCTTTTTCTTCCTTCAGGTGAATGCAAATACGCCGATTTCAAAATGTCATATACCCCATAGAAAACAGCTCCTGAGGGTGCCATACTCAAGATAGACGGGAGTAAACCCTTGTAAAGAGAAAAGAACCCTTCAGTTTGAACCACATGACGAAAAGCTCCAATTACACCACCAAGTGCTTCTCCACCAGGTGCCACCAACCTCGTCCGGACCTGAAACATTCAAAAATTCTTTACTCAAGTCAC